TGATGGAATACATCTGAGTCGCAAGATCTAAGGCTCATTTGTGTGAAATGTTTCTATTGGCTTGGCATTATACTAAGTGCAGCAGGAAAAAAGAGAACAAGAAAAACCACATAGCCCTCTCCACCACTACCCTCCCCCCGCCCCCCACAGCTCATATTCCTATGGGAAACATGGACCACTAAACAGGCTACTGTAGTACAATTGGTAAGAACCTTGATACAGATGGAGGTGTGAAGTAAAAAGAAGAGACACCTATACAGGGAGGGTGATAGTAGAGGTTGAAGAAGGATTCCTAGAGGAGGTGACAGCTGAGCAGAGTTGATAGGATGATTACATGTGGTTAGGAAAGCTGGGGGTTCCTGTGAGGTTCATGGAATGCCTTGACCAGAGGCATATTGACAAGAAACAATATGATGAGTGCAATGGATTACGAGTTGTCCCGGGTTTCTGAGCATGAAATAGGAGCTATCTTCTAGCTTTACAAGTTGTATCCTTCACTAACTGAAACAGAATGAACAGAGCTAAGGCCAACCATTTTTCTAACCACCCAATATCTAAATCCAAATTCTGCAGATGAAATTCACCAGTTGTCACCAACTGCAGACAAATAACGCATTTGTGTTTTAGTATGACATCTGTAAGAGTTTTTCTTATTTTTGGCCAAGAACTTGCAAGTTTGGCTGGATTCAGGATATCTGTTTGCTGTGTATTCTGAGCTCCTCTTATGTTTTTCTTACCCTCATTTTTCTGAAGCCATGCTAAGGACAGTGTCTTTGTTATTTCTGTTGAAGTTTCTCAGTGCTCATCCAGTCTTTTAAAAAGCCAGCTTTCATTTATTATGTATTTAAGTCTAAGGTATCTTCAAATACAAATGAGGCTGTGTCAGTAGCTAATTGGATTACAGACTTACCCTTAGAAAGTATGATGTAGCTTTTGGAAGATAGGCAATGTAGGTACATTTAACTGTATAATTAATTAAACAACATAATTAAAACTTTGTAATGAATTGATGCTCTACAAGAATCTGCAGTGTAGTAAAATAATGAATCTGTAAGACCCGAAGCCAATGAAGTTGGATTCATTTTATTATGCTACTTCTATCATGTACTGGAAGCGAGAAAGTGTGTGAATATAATCACAGATTGACTTCCTCTGGAGAAACATATATAAGATAACCTACTGAAATAAATGTTTGAGCTTTTTTATTATCCCTGGACCCTGAATCTGTATTTCTAAAATTTCTTGACCAGTCAACCTACTGATATCCCTAACATACCTTTGTTTACAGAAACAGCAAGGAGAAAGCCATCCCTATGATGTCTCTTTGGTTTATCTTTTCTGCTCCAAGATTGCTTGAGCAGCAGTCTTTTTTATCCCTGTTGGCTTTGTTGAACATTTCCTTGGCATCCTTACTTTGGATAATTCAGAACTGCAGCAGTTTGGCTTTCACCATTACTGAATCCATGGAAAAGCAGGTGGCATGCTACCTTGTTAAATGTCCCTATTACAGTCTGGGGGAAACAATATAGAAATTTGAGTTGTGCAGCAGTTTCAAAGGAAAGAAAAATCTGCCATTTACTTTGTGTTCTATCTCAGGGGGTGGACCTCGAGGGGAATGTGTCAATCAAGATCTGGACTAGTTTAGAACTTTACACACATTGTCATTACAATACAATGATATGGTCCAAAACATCTCAGCTACTTTTCTTCCGGTACAATCAGTCACATGATATTTTTAGCAATTGTAAGGCAAAAGCAGTGAAAAAATAAAGATGAGAATACACACAGGGCTCTCTTTAAAAAGAACATATAGTAGGTATTACACAGTTACTGTTATTGGGATAAGCCTATTGTATGGTCAGCAAGCCATCTCCTGCATGAATAAATACTTGCCACCAGTGGAGAGCCAGAGATGAAAGTCATTTACACAGGCGTTTGCTTATTTTCACAGCTGGAATGCATGTGAGCAGAGTTTTTATGATATAGAGAAGAATCATTTTTTTTAAAGTTGACAAAATATTTATCTTTTGTGGCCCATTGTTCAATATTCAATACATGAGTACCATGTTTTTCTTTTATGTGAGGATAACAAAATCTCCCTTCCATCAGACCAGCAAGAATTTTGAGTTGAGAACATTTTTTTTGCTCTTTGTGTAATGAGTTTGCATGGCATTTAAAGGTCAGACCTAATTTCTTCATTTTAAAAATAACACTCCATTATATTGTATTTTATGATACATAGGAGATATTCTTGCTTCAGACATGATAGGTGTTTAATGAGCAACACTGCTGGATCAAACAAGATTGCAAAGAAGATTCCATTATATCTGTACTGAGATTAAATGATAAAGACATACGATTTAGTAGTAATGTTTGGAGACCTATGCATCTCAAAAATTAGAACCCATAACATTAAAGTTAAATCAGCAACATTACTGGAAATTTTTTGCATGATTAAACTGCCTGGTTTTTAAATTGTCCCAAATATTTTCTTTATAAACAGCAGCATTTCTAGAGAGTCCTTGGATGATGTATACCACATAGTTATAGGAGAGCTGTAGAGTTCATTAATCAAACCACCCTTGATTTCTACTTAATCTATTTCAACCAAGGTTTAAATTCAAAGTGCATTGAAGAGTATTAGGATGGAAACAATAAGGCCAGCAGTGATGGCTCACACCTGTAATCTCAGCACTTTGAGAGGCTGAAGTGTGCAGATAGCTTGAGCCCAGGAGTTCAAGACCAGCCTGAGTAA